GCAGTTGCTTGTTTTTTGACTCACCGGGTAAATAAGAGAGCCACTACAGCCCTGGGGAGCCACAGGAGGGAGCCCTCGGGCAGCTGGGAGTGCAGAGCCATGGGAAGAACGACGCCGACGTATAGGAAGGCGGCCACGATCACCAGGTAAGGCCGCGTCCTTAGTACGTACAGGAAATACGGCGCCAGCACCAATAGCAGCAGCCATGAGTACCCTGGCAGACCCTCACCTCCACGACCACCTGCCGGTCCAACCACTATGTTTACACCACCACGAGTGTGTGTGTGTGTGTGTGTGTGTGTGTGTGTGTGTGTGTGTGTGTGTGTGTGTGTGTGTGTGTGTGTGTGTGTGTGAACAAAGAATAAATAAGCAGAAGAGATATGAGGTGCCTGAATAAACGTAGCTCTTCCACTCCTTGACTCACGAAATCGTAATGACACGATTGCAGACAAACCATACCACGGGTGGGGTTTAAACCTGCGGCCAGTCTCAAAACTCCAGACCGTCGCGTTAGCCACTGGGCCATTGGTGCCTATGCTAACTTTCCTATGGTGTAGAAATGTACCTAGTTGGATGAATCTTATTGAAGCTAGCTGGCCCAGTGGCTAACGCGACGGTCTGGAGTTTTAGGACAGCGGGTTCAAACCCCACCCCGTGGTATGGTTTTCCACTCCTTATGAAACATAAAGGGAGGGTCAAGGATTAAGTGGGGGCCAGCACACCTAGTGCAGTGTTTCACAACTCCACTAAACGAGTGATGGCAGCTGGGAAATTGATGAGAGGGAGGATAAGATGTGGAGTCAAGTCATTTATTTCATTAAACAGAATTTCTTAAAATGGGGCTGCAGCACACTGGAGAACTGGGGATGAAAATATTCCACAGAAGCATAAGTTATGCCCTAATGCACCCAGGTTTGTATCGCTGACGAGAGTATATATAACGAGCAGGCTGAGTGCAGCACTGGTATACCAAGCTAGACTGGTTAGGACACAATTACTATTTTGGCAAAGAACGAAACTTGATGGGCGTGAACTGTTTCATAATACAATTAATAAAACATACATTATTCATTAAGGCAATTGGAAGGAATACATTTACTAAATGAGAGTTATTAGAAAGTTAATTAAAACAACAATTACAATTAATAATACACGACATAAAGATGTATTCCCAGCGAGGGTAGAAATATAGGACGTGTTTCCTTACACCGGTTGTCTATGTTCATCCATCAGTAAAATGGGTACCTGGGTGTTAGTGGACTGGTGGGGGGGTCGCATCCTGGGTGTTAGTGGACTGGTGTGGGTCGCATCCTGGGTTTTAGGGACTGGTGTGGGTCGCATCCCTGGGTGTTAGTGGACTGGTGTGGGTCGATCCTGGGTGTTAGTGGATGGTGTGGGTCACATCCTGGGTGTTAGTGGACTGGTGTGGGTCGCATCCTGGGTGTTAGGGGAAACTGGTGTGGGTCGCATCCTGGGTGTTAGTGGACTGGTGTGGGTCGCATCCTGGGTGTTAGTGGATGGTGTGGGTCGCATCCTGGGACAAATGACCTAATTTTTGTGGGAAATCCCTCAGCATAACAAGCGACTTTCTATATAGTAGTATGTCATTGATGTCACTATGATTTGTATACCTTGCACATGTAGGAATAAAGATATTAACATATGTATGAGTAATGATGTGTGATACCGAGAAATATAAAACACTTGATGGACAATAAAGATACCAAGTATCTAACACTTCTTGGTGGCAGGATGGAGAAAATGTAGTTTAGGGACTAAGGCATAATGTTGTCTAGCATACTGCAGTACTATAAACCAATTCTAAATTGAGTAATACAAACTTATGAGCAAACTATTTTATGCCAGCACCTGGCACACAAGACTTTAGCTAATTTAAAGTTATTTGGCACAGAACGTAAACCATGGCTATAAGCCAATTAATTTACAATATGATACAAGGATCACTCATTGTTCATTAAAGATGGCTGGAGTAATCCATTATCTGGACGCAAGACACATTTTTCCCCACGTGTACTGGCAAGTTAAAATATCTCAATACACATTGGTAAACCTCACGATAAAACTGAAAAGAAGGTATGTATATTTCTGCTCCAGTCTCCCCAGCAGAGTTTCTGAGGCAAAATACATTCAATCCTTTCCACGATGTTTAATCTTTTTCTGTACAATCGCTATGTTTAGGAATAGACATTTTTCCCAGAGTTTTTTAAACCCTGGTATCGATATTCCCGCAGTACTTTCATAAATTACAATTTAAACCTCATATATTACTCCATGCATTTTTTGTACTACTGGAAAATTTTATAATAACTAAATACTTCTGTGCTATTTTTACACATCTAACACACAAAACACCACCCCCACACTCACAGGGCACACACCCGCGGGCGGGGCCAGGAGTGAGTCTCGACCCCTGAAAACCACAATTAGGTGAGTACACACAGTACTGTGTATGTTAGGCCCATACGGAGTATGCAACACCAGTCTGGAACCCACACCTGGTCAAGCACGTCAAGAAGTTAGAGAAAGTACAAAGGTTTGCAACAAGGCTAGCCCCAAAGAGTCGGGGAATGTCGTACGAGGAAAGGTTAAGGGAAATCGACTGACACACTGGAGGACAAAATACTGCGGGGAATAGACAAGGTGGACAGAGACAGGATGTTCCAGAGAGGGGAAAACAAACAAGGGGTCACAACGGAAGCTGAAGACTCAGACGAGTCACAGGGACGTTAGGAAGTATTTCTTCGTCATAGAGTCGTCAGGAAGTGGAACAGCATAGCAAGCGAAGTAGAGGCAGGAACCATACATAGTTTTAAGAAGAGGTATGACAAAGCTCAGGAAGCAGAGAGGGAGAGGACCTAGTAGCGATCAGTGAAGAGGCGGGCCAGGAGCCGAGTCTCGACCCTGCAAAACCACAATTAGGTGAGTACAATTAGGCGAGTACAGTCTTAAGAAGATATAGGATAAAGCTGATGGAGCAGGGGGAGAGGACCTAGTAATGACCAGTGAAGAGGCGGGGCCAGGGGAGCGGTGACTCGACCCCTGCAACCACAAATAGGTAAGAATATATAAGCGAGCGCACCCCCCCCCCCCCACACACTTGGGTCAGTTTTAGAACTAAAAAAAAAAATCAGATTTTCAGTACATTATATATAAATAAGGTAAAAAAACACTCCAAAACATCACAATATACACAGCACTTCGGGCAAACTAAACTTACAACTAAATAACAAATGATCACAGAAAAATGGTTTATTGCTAGGCATTAATATTAATTTACACTGCATAGGTAAGAATTATATTGCTAGGCTCCCAAGATAACATGTGATATGAAGACATTGAAATATCGACTATATTGACAATTTTGGTTATAAGAATTATTTGGTGGAAGAATCAAACTGGTGACAACAATGTATGAACATTTATAAGTTTACATTAAATAACATTCACAGGTTATGTGACTTTGTAACAATCCAAAATCAGTAAATTTCTTTGTTTAATCTGAAAGATTTTTCCAGAACTTGCTTGTGAACTACAGGAATAAGACTTACGTTCTCAACTGTTAATTGTAGTATTTTATCTTCTATTGCAACAATAATAACTAGTTTTGTAAAGTAAAAGGACACAAGTGCAACTAATGTGACATTTATTGTGGCAACGTTTCGCTCTCCATGAGCTTTATCAAGCCATTACAAACAATACATGGACACAGAGGGTATATAAAGGCTCAGAGCCTTTATTCTTAGATTTGATCTTTTAATCCCTTAAATCAAGAACCATTTAATTCTTGTTTAAAGGGTTTTACCAGACAGGTTTTAACATTAGTTCAAAATGATTTTTAAAAGTACACTTTTTCACATCAGGGGAGAAAAAAGTTGGATCATTACTGGAGGGAGGCTGCGTTTTAGCGATGATGGGGAGGCTTGCAAGCAATAAAATCCCAAACTTTTAAATGCTCACTTTTTTCAAATTTTTTAGTCTTTTTCACTAGACTGAAATCTATTTTTTTGTATTAAAATGAAAAATCTTGCTTTTAACGGGTTTTAGATAAATGACTCGGGGAAATTTAGGCCTTAAAAATATCAAAATTAGAAAGAGTGACATTAAACCATCACTGCGGGTTGTAAATCATCTAACGGGTCGTCGGGAAAATGACCGTACTAGGAAAATTTTGTCCGGGCGAATATTACAACTGAGTGAACCTTGCTCCTCGTTTCAGGTTTTGGTTTTTACACAACGAAGCACAATAAAGGTCGAGATTCAATGACAGGCTTTGTGTGTGTGGAAAAAGAAGGGCCGCACCAAACATTTTTCTTTAAAATAGACCAAGCCTTTAGCCATTTTGTGAGGTACACCCAGAGAAGGAACTTTAAATTAAAAAAAGGCACTAACCGCCCTTTCTCCAGCCATGAAAAAGTGCCCGGGCCAGGGGATGAGCAAGCGGGAGAAAGAGTATAGTTATTTTCGGCGGCACCAGCACACAGTGACACCACACCCGGGCCCCACTGGTCCACGCCCCACTCAGCACCACACGGTGCCAGCAACCCACCGACAGCAGACAAACCCGTGGCACACGCACACATGAACATAACATGGAGAAACACGCAGAAGGGTTATGGTCCATGATAGACAGGTCTTTTCCCAAAACCCAAACCTTTTTCACAATACTTCATCATTTTTGTCTGTGGGGAAGTGCTAGACTAGTAGTATAAAGCCTTTGGGCTAACAGTTGCGTTGCAGAAGTCTGAGCTGTGCTCAGACCTCTGCAACGCTATTGTCATCAAAGATTTGTTAAGTTATACCAGGAATTAAGGAAGGATCCTGGACTTCACCTTACGAAACAGACAAAGCAAATGTGATAGTAATTATGGATAAGGTAGATTATAGGGAAAAATGAACATATTAGAAGACGGGGGTACTTACGTGCCCCTTAAAATTTAGAGCCAGAGAGAGAGAGATCGCTATCAATAGCAGTGTCTCACCTGCAGTACCGTGTCTGACCTCCTGCTGGAATACAACAGCACGCCATCTGCCTGGGTTGCGATAAGGTGAGGGCAGTGGCATCACTCTTCAAGCATGCCCACCATCCCTGCTACCACTTCCACCCTCCACGTGCCTCCCCACTCACCTGAGGAATATGTAAACATATGCTACACACACACACTCAGTGGTCACTTTCTTAGGTACGCCTGTACACCTGCTCATTAATGCAAATATATAATAGGCTAATCACTTGGCAGCACCTCAGTGCCTCAAGGCATGAAGACAAGGTCAAAAGATTTAGTTATTGTTCGGACCAAACATCAGAATGGGAAAGAAATGTGATTACATAAGAACATAAGAAAGAAGGAACACTGTAGCAGGCCTACTGGCCAATGCGAGGCAGGTCCAAGTCTCCTACTGGCTTAAGCCAATGCCCCAACCTAGTCAGGTTAGGTCACATTCACTTAAGGAAGGAGCACGGCATCTGACCTAGTAGCACAAGCTAGTCAAATCTACGACTTTAATGGTGATGGACTTATTACATCGTCTTCACATCTCTACTGCTCCTGCCTACTTTTGTACCCGACTGAAGAAGCCTACTGTTGGTCAGTCGACGAATATTAGCCTGTGTACTTTGCTTCACCTTAACAATACATTATGTAAATACTCCATTATTTAGTGAGCTAGCAATGGATACAGTTAAATTTTGGGCTAATGGAAAAAACGCTCTTTTTTTGTATCCCAGAAAAAATAACCCTAATACAATATACGAAATTAATTTGATTCTCTCTTAGGCATTAAAATATTCTTGATATTACCTTGTTCAACTATCAAAACTCTGCGGTACAGTCCCTGGACCCATTATGTACCTCTGTAATCTTTTGACTACCCCCCACAGGACGGGTATGGGGGAAAATAAAGATATAAAGCAAACTATTACACAGACTTTGCAAAAGCTTTCGACAAGTGTGGCCATGGTGTAATAGCACACAAAATGCGTGATAAAGGAATAACACGAAAAGGTGGTAGATGGATCTATAACTTCCTGACAAATAGAACAAAGAATAATAGTAAACAGTAAAGTCTGAGGCGGCTACTGTGAAAAGCGCTGTTCCACAAGGCACAGTACTCGCCCCCATTCTATTCCTCATCCTCATATCTGACAGAGATGTCTACGTCTTCCTTTGCGGATGACACCCGGATTACCATGACAGTGTCCGCCATCGAAGACACCACAAGATTTCAAGCGGACATCAACCAAATCTTCAAATGGGCCACTCGAAACAATATGAAATTCAATGAAGAGAAATTTCAACTACTCAGATATGAAAAACTCGAGGAAATTAAAACTGTATCAGGGTATACCACAAATTCTAACCATACAATAGAGCGAAAAAGTAATGTGAAGGACCTGGGAGTGATAATGTCAGAGAACCTCGCCTTCAAAGACCACAGCAATGTATCCACCGCATCTGCCAGGAAAATGATAGGATGGATAATGAGAACCTTCAAAACTAGGGACGCCAAGCCCATGATGATCCTCTTCAAATCGCTTGTACTCTACAGGCTGGAATGCTGCTGCACACAAACTGCCCCCTTCAAGGCAGGCGAAACCGCTGACCTGGGGTGTACAAAGAACTTTCACGGCACACACAAGTAGGACAAGGCACCTAAATTACTGGGAACGGTTGAAGTCCCTCGATTTGAATTCCCTGGAACGCAGGCGAGAGAAATACACAATAATATACACTTGGAAGGTCCTGGAGGAATTAGTACCAAACTTGCACACGAAAATCACTCCATATGAAAGCAAAAAGACTGGGCAGGAGATGTAACATTCCCCCGATGAAAAGCAGGGGCGCCACGAGTACACTGAGACAGCACAGTAAGTGTCAGGGGCCCAAGACTGTTCAACTGCCTCCCAGCATGCATAAGGGGGATTACCAATAGATCCCTGGCTGTCTTTAAGAAGGCACTGGACAGGCACCTAAAGTCAGTACCTGACCATGCGAGTTGTGGTTCGTACGTCAGTTTGCGTGCGGCCAGCAGTAACAGCCTGGTTGATCAACCACGAGACCTGGTCTCAGACCTGGCCGCGGGGGCGCCGACCCCCGAAAACCTCTCGCGGTAAACTCCAGGTTGCATGTGATTTGCTGCCTAAATGACTTTCATGGAATCGATACAATTTAAAACATCCAGCCTCTAATTCTCGAAGCAATTAAATTTGTTTAAAAACTAATTCCTACACTAATAAAAAAAAAAATCTTTAAAATGGGAATTAATATAAAGTGTACAAACACTTCAGGTCTTGTGTGACACCTAGTCAAGGACATCATGCCACATATTTGACAATCTTCATTGCTTTTATAAGCTCCGATCATGAACAACATAATTAATGTTTACCAAAATCCCCTAAATTCATATATTCTATAGATCCAACATTTTGTTCCATGAAAAAAATAGCCAAGATCATTGTTGGTCATTCAATACACAAATTTCAACCTGTCATTTATTAGTTACCTTGTAACAACGCTAGGCGTCCTTCTAAATTATTATTATAATCACAGGGAAGCGCTAAACCCGTAGGATTATACAGCGAATGTGGGGGGGGGGATGGAAGGTAATCAGACTCAATTCAGGGAACTGAAGCACAGCTCCAATTCCCTAAATCAAGATCCCCTCACCAGCATCAAGGAACCTCCCTTGAGGGGGTCCTCCTAAAACACCCGGTATTTACTTTAATCCCTAAAATATGGCTTAAAGTAAGCTGTTAATACAGACACCTCATGGTGGACATATGTATCATGTGAATGTATTATTATTATAATCAAAAAGAAGCGCTAAGCCACAAGGGCTATTCAGCCCATGTGAATGTAGAATTGGTTGATTGGTTTACTGGGCTTAAAACCAATCGACATGAGGGTCATTATGTTTTTTAAGGCTCCAATGAACCTGTTTACCAGTAGTCAAAAACATTTCAATACTGTGATCGTCACCAATTGTGTAAAAGCTCAAACAACTGCGTAACAACTGGCTGAATACTTCAAATGTAGCGGGTTCATAAATAATGTATTACCTCAAGGGGAAACTTGTGTTTCTGCTGCAAGTGCTTGGAGTCAGTCGCCAGCGAGTATATAGACGAGTTTCCGCCCCTACCACTCGTCAGGTCATGTGGCAGGTGTTAACAAGGTCAGCAGTGCCCAATGGGTAGGATAAGACCAACAGTGTGTGGTCAGTGTGGATCACCAGCACATACACTCCACCATCACCACACTCACTACAACACTGCCATCTAGGCTGCAACAACACCATTCTCTCAGAATCACAAAAATCTTTACAATATTTTCATGAAACTAGGGTCAAAATAAACATTACAGTGCAGAGCCTCCTTACAACTATTGTCTAGACATCATGCATAAGCATCTAGGTATATTCTATAACATGCAAAACTTTGCGTATTTACATAAATATATAAAAACAAAAGGGACAGGCCACCACAGGCAAGAGTTGCTATATTTAGCCATCTCCAACCTACCTTCCTTGTCAATAATTTCTACTGCGAGTGAGATATTCCACTTATTTTCGTTTCTACTCCCATTTGCGTTTCCTTACATATTTTCTATTTTATCATTCAGCTCCTAGCTCGTCATAATAGGCAGCAGCATTCGTCTATATATACAGAGGAATATACAGTATGTTAAAAGATTTCACAAGTATCCATCACGTATTAGTGGTGTTGCTGAGGTCTACCCGGAGGTGTGTGCCACAGTATCCCAGTTAAACTGTTTACTGTGTGCCAGTTCTTGCACTCCCTGTCCTCACCCCTTTCTCTTTCTTATTTTGGGAAGTGGGGAGAGAAACGAAGGTCAAGACAGGTGTGGAAAGATCGAGAGTACCGAGAAACGTAGGATAAGGGGTAAAGAAAGATAGAATGTGGAATAGGGAAAGGGAGGATGAGGGGTAGAGAAAACGATGAAAAACGTTAGGGAGAGGGAGGATGAAGGGTTGGGAAAGGGACGATACAAGTTAATGAAACTGGGTTGAGTGGATAGGGACAGACAGGATCAGAGGTTAGGAAAGGAATGATGAAGGGTACAAAAAGTCAGATGGAAAATAAACTATTGTTTATAGTTTCACTTAGAGGCAAAGAGCTGTTATCCTGTCTTAGTTCATTTCACAATCCAGCTTGGCGTGGACCTGGATCTCCTGAGACCCTGAGATGGCCCTCTTGGTGGGGGTGTCATGCCCGTTTGTGTTCCATCGTAGAGCAAATAGTGACGATAGTCGCATTACACATGTGGATACAGCATAGCTGAATTGTTTTGCGTCTCTCATATGTGTGTACGTGCCTGCAGATGGTGATGCGAGGGTTAAAAATAATTTAACTAGGGAGGACTTAGTAATTTTTCGCAGATCGTTGACGGCCTTAGCCATAGTGGAAGGGGAATGAAATTGTGTTTTTTTTTAAGTAGAATGTCACCCCGAGAGGGGCGAAGCATTATTCCTCGGTCTTGTGCGAGTTGTTGAGTGAAGTGCACTTGAAGGCTGTGTGTTGTATGTCAGATTTGTTATCAGCTCATGCGTATGTGAGGAGACATTATGGGACCAGATTGAACAGAATTTATGTCAAATCATCAGTAACTATGCGCTCAGTATGCTTTTTCTGATCCTCTTGCAGTTCTCACGGAGGTGCGGTGGGACTCGTTGGCGCCTGCGTCGCAAAGGTTACTGGAAACTGAATACCAGGGCTTTAGGGGGACTAGGAAGTGGTAGTGTAGTTTTGTGGGATAATGAAGGTTAAGAAATATCAGGGGAATGATGAGGTGTTGGTAAGGTGGTGGAACGAGGTGGCTAAACCTGCGATAAGATAGTTTTAACCACTCAATGTTCCTTGATGTTGGTGAAGGGGCTCTTGATTTTTTTTATTATAGAAATCCCCTTGTTATGCAGAACATTTCGGGCAAATTAGGTCAGTTTTGTCCCCAGGATGCCACCCATATCAGTCGGCTAACACCTAGGTACCTATTTTATTGATAAGTGTACAGGGACATCAGGTGTCTTAAGGAAACACACCCTAATGTTTCCACCCGTACCGGGGATCGAACAACGGACGTCAGTGTGTGAGGTGAGTGCGTTAGCAATCGAGCTACGGGACCTCATCATAAAGGAGTTAGGCCAGTCCTCCAATTTCTTGAATCAAGCCTAAATGCCTTCCATTCTCCGAGGCACTGTGTGACCTCTATGGGTTTAGTGCTCCCCTTTAATATAAAATGAAAGTATTATGAAAAGGGCTGTGGCTTGTACGTTGGATTACGTCACCCAGCAGTAAACCGGGTTGATAAAGCTCTGATCCACCATGGGGCCTTCACGCCCCGGGTGCGGGGGCTTGACCCCCGGGAACTCCCCGGGTTTGGGAAGGTTGGAAGCCAAATTCTAAAAGATACGGATTATTAAATTATTAGGGGATAGTTTGCTTCAATTTACAGGAAAGGGCGGCTCAGTGGATCCGAAGGGATGACAAGAAGGTTGGAACTTTTATCTGGATTTACACAGCGAGTTTTATAGTGCTGCCGTGTACAACGGCCTCTTATGTGAATTTTCCGGGAAACAGGAAAGACCTTTTTTGTCTTAAGGGGATTGTAAGTGGGTGAATTCAGGAAAGGGCAGGTCCTGAAAAAGACTTATGCAGGGGGGTTGACGTGAAAAAGGGATGAGTGTTTGGGGAGGGGGTGGTGGAGGGAAAGGGGGCTGTCCTAGGTTTGTAAGGGGATTCCTTGTAATCTCGGAAACGGATGGCATTGGGGGGACCTTTTATGAGTTAGAAAATAAAAACTGTAATTCACATTGAAACCCTTTTACAAAGAAATAAAACAGGGTTTTTTTTGGGGAAAGCCTCATCGTGTTAGAAGGAGGTTGGTCAGGGTTAATAATAAAATAATAATAAAATCTTTTTTTACTACAATAATGTACAAGGTAACAGGCCAAGGATAAAAATTTCTCATACAAACAATAACAAAACCCAACCCAGCTCACTGAACAATGAACCTAATGAAAAAATTGGACCAATATACTACCCCCCTTAAACAGGGATAATCACAAAAAGCACTACAGACCCACTAACCCTACCTTCCTCCTGCAAACATTAGTAAACCACCATTGAAAAACAACAAAGTCCATTTGACTCCATGGGGGCCTCAGAAGGAAAGTTCACGCTGACCAAAGGGGGGGGGGGGGGGGGGGTTGATTGCCTACAAATTCTCCAAAGGCCAATGGTATGATGACTGGACAGACATTTTCTTAACAAATTACTTAGACTATACAACAAACATTGTCCTATAAAAACAAAACAGATCACAAAAAAACGGCTTGGGTTTCTCAGGCTAACCACACCATTCTGAAAACCTTGACAAGAAAAACCAATATGAAAAGCATAAGACAGGGCTTAATACCAAAGACATTCTTAAACACTATTCATCAGCTCTCACCAAAGTAATAAAGAAACCAAAAAACTATACACCCAGCAGATTTACAGAATAGGGAGATAAAAAAAAAGACCGGGAAAAAACTCCTCAGACTGGGACCCACAAACTGAGAAAAACCAAGAATAAAGCCTAACTAAACCAATAAACACCCCTAAACCCAGCACAGAACAAAATAAAACTTTTTCTAACCATAGGATCTAAACTCCCAGTAAAATCCCCCATACCAAAGCCCATGCCGGGGGCTACCTAGATGGGAAATTTCCCTATTCCCCCTATTTGCACCAACTGAGCCCACGGAAGTCATGAGAAAAAGCCCCTTAAAAATAAATTGGGAATCTGCTATGCCCACCATTACGTACAAGCGAGCAGCCCATGTCCTTTCGCATGCTATTTAAATTACTTTTTAACAAGTCACTAGAGACTAGCACCTTCCCGAAACTACTCAAGATGGCAAGGGTTACACCAATACATAAAGGTGGTGACCCTACAGACTTAAACAACTATAGGCCAATATCTAACTTACCATTGCTGGAGTTTACCTGGAGAGAGTTCCGGGGGTCAACGCCCCCGCGGCCCGGTCTGTGACCAGGCCTCCTGGTGGATCAGAGCCTGATCAACCAGGCTGTTGCTGCTGGCTGCACGCAAACCAACGTACGAGCCACAGCCTGGCTGATCAGGAACTGACTTTAGGTGCTTGTCCAGTGCCAGCTTGAAGACTGCCAGGGGTCTGAATTTCAGCACCCATATCCAGCATATAACCAAAAAAGTATCCAAAACGGTTGGGATCCTCTCCAAGATACGATACTACGTGTCGCAAAATGCCCTTCTCACACTATACCACTCACTTATTTATCCATACCTCACCTATGCTATTTGTGCTTGGGGATCAACTGCAGCAACACACCTAAAGCCAATAATAACCCAACAAAAAGCCGCAGTAAGAATAATCACTAAATCCCATCCCTGGCAACACACCCCCCCACCCCTCTTCATAGACCTAAACTTACTCCCTGTTCAGTACATCCACACTTACTACTGTGCAATCTACATCTACAGGGCCTTAAACTCTAATATCAACCTTGACCTAAACGCTTTCTTGATAGTTGTGACAGAACCCACAGGCATAACACCACATACAAACATCTCTACGACATTCCCCGTGTCCGACTAAACCTTTACAAAATTTCAATGTATGTCAAAGGCCCTAAAATCTGGAATACCCTACCTGAGAACTCTAGAAACTGCAGACACATTCATCACCTTCAAAACTACCATTAGAAAACATCTTATCTCCCTGATACACCCCGTCAACTAACTACACGAATACCACCTGGTGGTTCACACTTACACTCACTGACTCATTTGACCATAAACAGAAATATTAATCTCAATCTTAAAATAATGAATCCTGTGATACTCCAATACTGAAACTATGTACTGTGCCAAAACAAAAGCATTCACATTGCTAAACTCACAAACTAGTATTTAGTCACTTAGCCATAATACCAACTTACCTCATAATTTGTAATATTTTACAATTAAGAATAAAACTAAGTCTGCCCGAAATGCCTAGCCATGCTAAGCGTTCTAGTGGTACACTCTGTAATCACAATTTTACTACATGTAAACCACACAATAACCAAATTTCTGTAAGCTCAGCATTGTAATCCTTATAGAGAATAAACTTGGAATTGAATTGAATTGAATTGAATAGCTGACAACAATGACATACTACTATATAGAAAGCCCCTTGTTATGCTCCGCATGTCGGGCAAATTAGGTCAGTGTCCCAGGATGCGACCCACACCAGTCCACTAACACCCAGGTACCCAGTTTACTGATGGGAAACATAGACAACAGTGGAAAGAAACACGCCCAATGTTTCTACTCTAGCTGGGAATCGAACCCAGGCCCTCACCGTCAACGGTAGTCGTTTTCCTCGTCCCGAAGGATAAGATGCAGGCAGGAATTTATAATTGTTCTACTTCACTCTTGTGTGGTGATTATAAACTCTGATAATTTGATTGAAGTGCTTTGTGGGTCGTATTGTCTTGCCGGTCCAGTGTGGTATTCCGGGAAGATCCATGTTGATCACTAGTTCACCCTTAATAATAATATCTATTAACTACCAGTACATGTACAAGGTATACAGATCATAGCTGACATCAATGACATACTACTATATAGAAAGCCGCTTGTTATGCTGAGCATTTCCCGTAAATTAGGTCAATTTTGTCCCCAGGATGCGACCCACACCAGCCCACTAACACCTAGGTACCTATTTTACTGATGAGTGAACATAGACAACCAGTGTAAGGAAACACGTCCAATGTTTCCACCCCTTCGCCAGGAATCGAACCCGGACTCACCGTGGGAAGCGAGAGCTTTTGCCACCAGGCTACGGGCCACCTTGACTGAGGTGCATATAATTCTATAGAGAGAGAATTATGAGTAGTAGCCTCTTTCGGTAGGAGTTTGGGGAGGAAATTGTGAGGTGGGTGGATAAGTTGTATTATGGAGCTGTGGCTAGAGTCCAGGTTAATGGTAGATTAAGGGAAGCTGTACTCACGTGCAGAGGTGTAAGGCAGGGTTGTCCCTTGTCTAAAATGTGCAGGACACGTTCTATAAGCTGGTGAAGGAGTTACTGGTAGCGAGATGAGTTAATCCAGCCATTTTAGGGTACATACAGAAGCGGACTGGGTTTTAAAACCAGCCCGGGCATCTCATCACCTATTCAGGTCGGCTGGGCCACTGCTAGTACTCACCTAATTGTGGTTGCAGGGGTCGAGACTCAGCTCCTGGCCCCGAGGCTAACACTGCTGAGGGCCAGAGGCGCGTTCCATTTTCATTTCAATCTTTGTGCAGCGACTATGACTTCAGTTTTTCGTGACATTTTTCAGCTGTTTTTGTTCTAAGCCCAGCGGCCCACAGGGCACTGCCAGGGCACTGCCAAATGCCCGTATGGCCAGTCCACCTCTGGGTACATAGACGATACTACTGTGCTGATGATCACTAACTCCTGTGCCAGACACCACACCTCACCACTTTTCAAAAGTTTAAACCTACTAAATATGCGAAAGATACACTCATTATTGTGCCTACTATATATACAGAACATTAAACTCCAATATAAACCCTCCACTTCTTGATAGCTACACAAGGAACCCAGTCACAATACAAGGCACTAAACTCAGACATCCCTCATGTCTAACGATGCTAAAATGCAACGCACATAAAAGGCCGGGAGAACTGGAATTCACTACCTGAACCAGTAAAAATTCCCCTGATTACATACAAATTTAGGGCTATGCTTAAAAATCATCTCATCTCTCAATACTAACTGAATATTATTATTATAATAAAAAAGAAGCTAACTATAACCCTTGTGGTTTAGCGCTTCTTTTTGATGATGATGATGATGATAATAATAATAATAATAATAATAATAATAATAATAATAATAATATAATAATTTCAATACTAACCAATACAACATCTAACCAGTTTGAAGTAACTCTCCCAAATATTATATGACCTCCAGTCTATTAAAACATCTACTCATACAAAATAATACTGTTTGAACCATTATTTGTGTAGTATCAGTGATAGGATTGTTGAGATTAACACTGTACTCGGTATTAGAATGTTTAGAAATGAATCAGACACTGTCACAATGAATCTTACCAAGTGTCTAGAGTCAAATACACACAAATCCAAATGAACTGTGAAAACGTGCAATTGCATTAAGTTTTATAACCTACATGAACTGTATCACTGTAGGCAACAAGAGCATTTCACCCCTCCATGGAAGATGTGTTCATTTAATATCACATACCTGCAAGTCCCTCCCAAGAAGCTCATTGCTGGTAATCCCTTCCTTAAATCTCTTGTTAGAGCAACTGCTCAAGAAGAAATTTCTCACCTAGCTGGTAGTAATAAGTTATCACAAGTTATATACACTGATGGATCTAAACAGGAGTCTTCTGGCAGGGCTGCATCTGCTCTTGTTGCCACCTCCCTAGTTAAGAACGATAATAAATTTGTTGAGTTAAGCATAAGAATTAACAACTGGGCGTCTATACTGCAAACTGAATTGTTTGCAATCCAAATGGCGCTAAAGCTAACCTATGACACTGAGCTTGACTCTCCCCTCAAGGAAGGTTCCTTGATGTTGGTGAGGGGCTCTTGATTTAGGGAATTCGATCTGTGCTCCAGTTCCCCGAATTAAGCCTGAATGCCTTCCACATCCCCCCCCCCCCAGGCGCTGTATAATCCTCCGGGTTTAGCGCTTCCCCTTGATTATAATAATAATAATAATGAGCTTGACTCTATCATCATTACTGATTCTATGTCATCATTGAAGGCTCTTGACTCATATAATGACTCCAACAACATGCTCATTGGACAAGCCTGGTATAGATACTCAAAAATCAGGGACAAAGGAATTAATGTATAATTGCTATGGATCCCATCACACATTGGATTACTCCTTCATGATAAAGTTGATATGTTAGCCAAGAAGAGTACCCAGAAGGAGAATGTAGAATATAACTTTGGTATAACTGTGTCTAGCATTAGGAATAATATTAGGAGAGAAGTAAATAATGAAAATGATTGTTATAGGAATGCAGTTAGAAGCCTGAGTAGATCTATAACCCACTGTGATAACATGAACGTAGATAAGTATGTTTATGGAGCAACTTGCAATGTGAACAGACTGACTGATATTGTAGTGGCCAGGCTTAGGCTTGGTTACAAGTACTTCTGGCAGTTTGTGAGACACAGATGATGATCAAACTAAATGTAAATTATGTGATCAGGCATATGGTCACTCTCTTGAACACTATGTGCTTAATTGTCCACTTATTGAGGAATACAGAGATAGTATAATAACCTGTGTGACATGTCAGGATATCTTATTAAGATAAGATAAGATAAGATAAGATTTCGTTCGGATTTTTAACCCCGGAGGGTTAGCCACCCAGGATAACCCAAGAAAGTCAGTGCGTCATCGAGGACTGTCTAACTTATTTCCATTGGGGTCCTTAATCTTGTCCCCCAGGATGCGACCCACACCAGTCGACTAACACCCAGGTACCTATTTGCTGCTAGGTGAACAGGACAATAGGTGTAAGGAAACGTGTCGGAATTTCCACCCGCCGGGAATCGAACCCGGGCCCTCCGTGTGTGAAGCGGGAGCTTTAGCCACCAGACCACCGGGCCACCAGATATACTAAGCAAATTTCCTAAATTTGCTTGTAACAGATAAGTAAACTATAGATATGTAGATATAAATCCATATGTATTACTGTTAACCCTTTGGGGCCTAGTTCCTAGGCCTTTTGTGTATCCATATGCTCTTATGTTACTGTCCACAGGCTGGATATGGGGTGCACAATAAACTAGCCACTTCAGTGGCAAAATCTAAAAAATCTAAATCTTTATACTTTATATTTTTATATGATTAGTTCCGATTTTAAGTTCATAATGTTTTTTTTTGTCATTAAACTGTAAACATGTTGTATGTTTGCTTCTCTTCCTTGAGTCAAGTATATGAGAACCATGGGACTGTGCATGCTATTGTAATAAAAACAGCTTTGCTAGTTGACAGTCTGGTTGGAATCCTACTGCTCATAGTACAGACAATACTCTTTGAGAAACAGAACCTACCAGAAATCAACTGCTATTAAAGCTAACCAGTTCTTCTATTTTGCCTAGCATATGTCAGATGATTAGGCCTTCCTTCTTGAGGATGGATAATGAGAACCTTCAAAATTAGGGATGCCAAGCCCATGATGACACTCTTCAGGTCACTTGTTTTATCTAGGCTGGAATATTGCTGCACACTAACAGCACCTTTCAAGGCAGGTGAAATTGCTGACCTAGAAAATGTACAGAGAACCTTCACGGTGCGCATAACAGAGATAAAACACCTCAATTACTGGGAGCGCTTGAGGTTCCTGAACCTGTATTCCCTGGAACACAGGCGGGAGAGATACATGATTATATACACCTGGAAAATCCTAGAGGGACTAGTACCGAACTTGCACACGAAAATCACTCACTACGAAAGCAAAAGACTTGGCAGACGATGCACCATCCCCCCAATGAAAAGCAGGGGTGTTACTAGCACGTTAAGAGACCATACAATAAGTGTCAGGGGCCCGAGACTGTTCAACTGCCTCCCAGCATACATAAGGGGGATTACCAACAGACCCCTGGCAGTCTTCAAGCTGGCACTGGACAAGCATCTAAAGTCGGTTCCTGACCAGCCGGGCTGTGGCTCGTACGTTGGTTTGTGTGCAGCCAACAGTAACAGCCTGGTTGATCAGGCTCTGATACACCAGGAGGCCTGGTCACAGACCGGGCCGCGGGGGCGTTGACCTCCGGAACTCTCTCCAGGTAAACTCCAGGTACTACATATGTATTTCCCAATGAGCAGATTGTGGCAATAATTAATTATTAACTAAGGTAATTACCCCTTTTCTCTATATTTTCCCCTTTTCCTTTATCACGACTTCAGCCTGCGGTAGCATAGTCACTCTGTGTTTGTACGATGATGTCTTAACCCCAGGCTGGACTTAAGGTGTCCACTTCATTTTGTCTGGTGCCCAGGTTTCCACTAATTGCAGGTATTTGTGTCTGCAGTGTTCATGAGGTTAATTTCATGGTACACTAATAGTAATGACATAATGGTAATCAATTTAAGTGCTAAATCTGTATGGGACATACAGCGCTGCAGGTTAGGATGTTGGAGGATAGGAATGTGCAAACATTAGGAGCAAGTAAGGGCAGGTAGTGGGTGCACGAGGGTAGGGGTTAGTACAAGAGTAAAATACGTATGTATCGAATATGTTCGACATCTAATGAAAAAATTCAAGATGTTCAAAAAGAAATATAACCCTTGAAGAATGCATATACGTACTGTATTATTGTAACCCATTGCACTTTTTTCTGTTGCAGTGATCATCAAATACAAAAATGGTATTTACATTACGATTGTAACCAGATATAAACATGTAAATAGTTCATTACCATTGTAACTTGTTCATCTGTCCTAACTTTGTACTCCAGTCCCTGGACCCTTTATGCACCTCTGTAATCTTTTGACTACTGCCCACAGAATGGGTATGGGGTGCATACTAAAGATATTAAATTAACATTACAGGTTTTTTTTTTATACCAAACACTGCATAAAATCACCCTTATACACTGGAAGATTATTATTATAATCATGGGGGAGCACTAAACCTGTAGGGATTATAAAGCGCCTGTAGAGGGCAGGGATGGAAAGTATTCAGTTTCCTTTTTGAACAATATATATTAAATAAGAATTCTGCCATTACAGAACTTTCTCACACACCTTCAGGGGTGCATGCAGTATAGTTTGGGAACTGTCCTATGAAATACAATGTCCTTGCCTCCTAAGTGTCTGCCCCTCCATTGATGAATTACACTGCAGTTATCATGCAAGATGTAGTTGTATGAAGTTGGCCAAACAATCTAGATACGCATACTGAATTAACTCATTATTGCTATTGAAACAATGCTCTCTCCTGTGTGATAGGGAAGAGGAGGAGAGGAATGCCTATGTGAAAGAAACCCCTGACCTTCCTGGACCGATTAAACTTAAACTTGCAGCTAATGCTGCAAAAATCATAATAGTTTTTTGGGGAGGTATTTTTAAAACACCTGTAATACAATATCTCTTTTCTTTGATTATTCATTCATTTATGCTACAAAAATGTACAGTAATTATGATATAAATACACTCCCCCATGTTACAGTACAGTATAATGAAATGTATTTAAAGAATATCAGTCTTTACTGTGTATAACTGGTGTACAAATTCTGTAATAAAAGCACAGACATGCCTTGCTAATATGGCGGGTTAAATTCCAGACCACTACCGTAAAGTGAATCACAGCCGGGCTGGAGTTTTGAGACTCTCTGACCGCGGGTTCAATCCCGGCCGGGGTATGGTTTGAATCACAGCCTTTTTTTTATTTACTAGTACACATAAAAGACTTAAAACATGTTTACACTACCATTTATTAAGAGAATAAACATTTTAAAGGAAGTAATTATTGAGGGAAGGCTGCAAGGGATAGTGGAACTTCATCATCTGAGCCTTCAACTCACTTGATTCAGCTAAGAGTCAACTGAATCACCAAAAAATATTATGAATATAATTGAAGAGAGCC